CAGTCCAACGGTAGATTAACTCGTCGTGCTTTTGTTGCATTTTCTGCTAAGACTTTAATGGCTTCTACAAATCTCCCGTTTCTGTGTAACTTTATTCCAAGGTAGGTATAAGTATCAACCATTTCGATAGTTTGATTGCCGAGCGTGAATCTATATTTTAGTTTACTGTTATTAGCAGGCCCGCTTCCAAAAACTATTATTTGGGTTTTGGACAAGTTTACTTTTAGTTTCCATCGTGAACAATATACATGAAAAGTGTCGAGTGATTGTTGTAAGTCTTCAGGGTCTTCACTGAATACGACAGCATCATCTGCATATAGCAAGACAATAAGCTGCAGGCAAAGTATCAATTCGGTTTCGGTTTGGTATTCTAGATTAACACCTTTACTTCCTCGTTTCAGTAGAAAGGGCTCAATATCATTTATAAAATGTGAAAACAGAAGTGGCGATAGATTTTCCCCTTGTCTTACTCCCGTGTTGCATGGGAAGAATGAGGATATTTGATTACGTAACATGACAGTGGATTTTATATTCTTATACATGTTCTTTACTGAGTTAAGAAATTTACCAGATATTCCACGGTTTAGCAGTTTATACCACAGACCAGCCTTCCACACAGCGTCGAATGCGTTTGTGAAATCAACAAAGACGCAATAGAGTTTTCGTTTTGTTTGTTTTAAAATTTCCCTAATAGCATGTAGAGCATATACATTGTCGCTTGTAGAGTTAAAATATTATTTACTTCGACAAACTTACTGAGCCTCGCATTAAGTATACCGAAACAACTGAGAATTGTTATTGGTCTATATGAGTTTGGATCTAGGTGTTCGCCCTTTTTCTTTATATCGGTCTGATTATACCCTTTAACCAACAGTCTGGTACAAATCCGGAACAAAGTATCAAGTTAAAGAAATGGGTTAGGAGTGGTATTAAATGTGTGGAAGCATCAATAAAATAATCATTTTCAACAAAATCTAGTCCAGTAGCTTTATTTCTTTTAAGATTTTTAATTGCTGAAAGGATGTCCTCACCCGTAATAACCTTATTTAAGACATTAGTGTCATATTGTTGATCATCTACAACATCATCTGATATATCCTCATTAGATTGGGATTCATTAATGTCTTTATAGAACGCAAAGAATGTTTCAATATCAGGTGTATTATCATATTTAGTGACATCCCCTTTACTCAGTAGCTTCCAGTATTCTTTGGGCGAGTGTTTCATAAGGTCACGAAATTGTTTAGTGGTCTCATATTGAAATTGTCGCATACTTTTGTCCATACATTTTTTATATGTTCTTGACGTTTGATGATAGTGCGTTCTATTTAATGGAGTGTTACGTGACTTATATTTTCTGTTAGCTTTATGGAATGATTTTCGCATTTTCCTACACTCATTGTTAAACCACGGTTTATCTTTTTGTCTTTCTATTCCGTTTGGGACGATTCGCGCGAACACTCCTGACGCCGAAAGTTTTGCGTGCAGCGTCCACCAGCACGTTCGTTATGTCTGTTGCAAGCTCGTTGACCAGATCTGGGTCAACACCGCGTTCGCTTGCGCATTGTGTTCGCTCAGTGAGACGTGCGATATTATCAACATTTATATTATTGCAGTAGAGGTCCGATTTTTTGGCATCATATCGTAACGGTTTGCCTATAGTAATGTTATCTTCCATTGGATTTACCGAGGGATGGACACTCTCATTGGTGATGTTTCTATGGGATTTTAAAACAAATCGAACAGGGCAGTGGACATCTGAATATGATGGTGAGTAATCAATTATTTCAAAATTAACAAAAGACATGGACATGATGGTGACAAAATAACATAGTCCACAACAGATTTGCCTTTACATGTTGCTTTGCCGATTGTTTTGTCTGAACCAACTCTTCCATTACAGATAAAGAGATTTAAATTCTTACACAGTTCTATCAATTTAAACCCAAAGTTGTTAGCCCCACCTTTATCTTGTGTGTACCTCTGGTGTGGTAGGCTCAGTTTGTCTAATATATTCAGAGGGTTAATATCATTTTCAAGTTGTGGTACGTCCATTTCGAAATCATCCATTTCGAAATCATCAACAATGTGCTTATCAAGTAAAAGGTAATCACACATAGTGTTAGTTCTGGCACTGAAATCCCCCATAAGGCTGACATAATCACTGACAGATAGATAGTGTAATAGGGATTGTTCAATCTCATTAAATGCGTTACAATTCACATAAAGTGTGCATTCCGAGATCAGGAAACCGGTTCATTCGCGACTGTCAATTAACCATCACGCTTGGGGATTTTATGGGACGCTTTAATAATTCCACGTCGTGTTCGCACCCGGCGTTGTTGGTTTCACGGTGATTGCTTTAATTAGTATCTGGAGCTTCACTTAGTTCTGCGGAGCGCACCCGTCTCGCGAACAAGAGACGGTAGGCCGTCTCGCGTACACGGTAGGTCGTCTCGCGTACACGGTAGGTCGTCTCGCGTACACGTTACGTCTCTGACTGATAAAGGTGAATAATCAGTCCTAGCGAAATTATTTTCATTTCGGAATATGTCTAGCGTGAACATTGAAACAAACTTGAAAAACCAGATATCCACAAAAGACTTAAAGATATCTTAAAGACCTAGATGGAATTATAAAAATCACAGAAAATGTACCCCGCAATTCAAGGGAGACAACCCCATGTTGCTCAGTGGCTGACTACACCATTGTGAAGGCTCACGGTGAACGTGATGACCTCAAATTTGAACATCTGTTATATCCAAAATTCATTTGGCAAATGGAAAACAAACTTCGAGAACTGTTGGGATGGATGTTATATATGATACTTCAAGTGTGATAAATCCATATATATATCACGCAAGTCTTGAGCCAAGAATATCGCATTACGTTCAGTTCGGTCAACGAGAATTCAAGTTTGTTTATTATCTGAGTGTCATGAGAGCGATTCACGTTGCTGGCTTCGATATGGTGTTTTATCACGGAAATAAGGAACCTTTATGAACTAAGGAACGGAGAAAACATAACGCTTGGTCACACAGAACAACCAGAATTTGTATGGTAACGGAAAAAGAGTCGGCGCAATCGAGCGGCGTTATTAAGACATATATACTTTTTCAATATGGCGGAGTGCATCAGGACCCGGATTAGCTATTGTTGAATCACGTTAGTGATAAATATTTAACGGACGAAGACGGTTTAGGATTTGATTGGGTGAAAGTTGAACTATGTCCGGAAACGTTAAGTATTGGAGTTTGCTCTGCCAAAAAAGCGTCAAGATTTATTGAAGAATATATCAAAACATTATGGACTATCCTGACGAAACGTGGATCTTCAAGTCAGCCGTGACGATCTCCATGACATACGAAAGATTTACTAGTTTGTTGTTTGCAGACAGACATCTTCAAGTTTTGTGTTACAGACGGAAGTGCCATCCGCCATGGTTATGGGGTTCTAACGACCATACCCTAACCCAACTGACGTTCTATACCTATATTCATAGTTGATTGATGCTCCCACTCTCAAACCCATTTGGAATGACATACGGTCGATCGAATACCGGGTGGCCTAATTTCCAGTGATCAGTTCATATAATTGTCTTAGTTTTTTGCCTATATACACCATGGACAATGTTTCGTCGTATAATCGAAACCTTTTGTTCTTATATTCTTATGTTTAGTATACGTCCATACGAATAGTCAACAGAACAGGCGGAGCTTATGGTAATGCCATTAGTAATATGAACACGACCCTGTACATCGACAAATGAAATTCCTTTATGCCTTGCTTATTCATTATCAATGCATTAAAGGAGAACTAAGTCTTTTTTAAGTATCAACGTAGTATACTATTTGTATAGGGAGAAATGAGTCTTTAATTAAACATAATCATTTTTTGTAATGAGGTCATTTCTGGTAACCATTCTTGAATCTTTTCAAATGATATTGTTTCAGCAAATACATTCACCTATTGATCCATCAAGCTGCGGCACCCAATTATCTGTTCGTAAATAATTTCTGTGTGATAAGAACATAATAAAACTAGAAAATCTGAACTTGTCCAAATTGGAGTTTTTGAATGTTACATCGCAAATATTGATAATGAGCTTATTGTAGACAAACATGATATGAGTAGTGTTCTGAGAAATATCCACTGAATGCTGGGTTCTGCATGAACATTCTTTTCTTTTGCTTGCCCAAATGCTGGACATGTGGGCAATTTCAATAGTTTTTTTTTATCAAATTTGATAATCCTAACTTCTCTGTGCTCGAATGCTTACAATGGGCAGTTGGTCGAGTAGGTTCAGGCGTCCGCTTCTGAAACCCGGGTGTATTCATGCATATATTATGTAAAATGTGTGTTTAGAATCTTAACAAAAACAAGACATGTTTAGTTCTAACCATGTAAAAGAGTGTGTGTCTTTCACAGCCCAAACGCCACTCAATTTCAGCATCCTGTTAACGTGTTTAGAAATTGAACGTTAAAAGACATGTTTAGAATCTAAACATCGAATATTGTCCCAATAATCTGAACATGTTTACAATTCATAGGCACCTGCGTGACACAAATAATACAGGGGCATCGACCTCTGTACATAAAAAACAAATGAAAATGTTCATTCATACTCGAATGGGAATTGTGAAGGTGTAGGCAACTCGCAGTAAGACTACACACTTCATTTAATGAAATTGTTCACGGAGTCCATTTTCGTAAGCATGTTATTGCCGTTTTGACACATTAAACAACGTATAGCTGGTCATTTTGACATATTCCCCATATAGTTCTCCAGCCAAGAGGGTGTGTAAACAGCTTATCTCCATTACTGTGAAAATATATGAGCTTCCTTGATAGTTGATGTTCATATCGCTTAAGTAGTTTGCATGCTGCTTTCATTTGACTTGATTTTGTATCTAATTTGTTTGTTCAAACCCGGAGTAGTGATCCCGAGGCAACAGGATAAATATATATATATATATATATATATATATATATATATATATATATATATGATAAACGTTATTTTGCTTCATTTTAGTGTAAATGAATCCACCCCGATTTTATAAGCTGAAACTCGTTTTCTCGTGTTCCTGTGTTGTGATCTTTCGACGAATTTAAAACATATTTACACGAACCGACCGTTTACATAGACAACATTTCGGATTTAATCGCATTAATAGTACTATTATCAAAGACGTGGGAGTTACGTCCCTTACATGAGCCGGGATGACGTGATTGTTTGAATCTGATAATGCCCCTGATAGTCACCCTTAACCCGTCAACTGGTAAACACCTCAGGGGCACAATGACCTTTTCATTCAACATTAAAGTAGCATGGCGTGATATGCTTAAATAATGATTTAAGCAGTTTAAAAACAATGATGAAACATTCGCTGAATAGTCAGTGAAATTAAAACACCTGTATGGGTCGCCGGGTTGACTGAGAGTATGCCTCTTCCAATAATTCCAACAAAAACTCCCACTGTCTAGTGTTTCTCACGGGTTTTCTCATAATGTCGATGTTGAAAGAATGCCAGCACATCCGAGGAGAGTATAAACAAACTGGTAAAGACGATCAATGTGACTCCAGTTGCACCAATGCTTGTGGAGGACTTCCGCTCATCTGGAGCACTGATGTACTTTATGACGGTCTTCGTCAAGTTTCTTCTGTCAAGAAGCAGGTTGCCTCGAATCTCCTTCTTCTTTGCGTCGACTGACTGAGACGAGAGGTCATTGAGTCGGTTCTCTGGGATACAGAAGCACCTGCAGACCTGGTAGACAACTTGTCCAGGGTTTGAATTGGAGATGTATGTTGTGATGGAGTGAGTGGATGTTTGTCTGAAACCGGAAGTGACGCTTGTGTACGTTTGAGTATGATCTGGATTCTGTAAACTGACGCTATCAGAGTTGCTGAAGTCTGTGGTACTTGAAACAACGGTGGCGTCGACATTTGTCAAAGGTGACGCAGATATGACAGATCCTGATCTTGCGTTGGGTGAGTTGATAACATGTGGGTATGTTGACGAAATTTTGTCGTACCCACTTGTTTGTATCGATGGCTCTTGTGATTGTACACTCATGTCGATACTCGACCATATGGCGGTTGAGGGATGCGGTGACACAGTGTCATCATATGATGACCAAACAGACATCGAGCTCCACTCTGATGACGATGAACTTTCCGTCTTAGTGATCTGTACAATGTCATCCGTTGAAGATGATGCAAGAGGTATAACAGTGTTGGTGTTCAATGATGACCCGATGACTTCAGATGACCCTACGGATGTCATCATGTCATACCCAGATGATGATACTGCCGTTTCGGTGGCAACGCTACTGGTATTGAAGGGAAGAGACGCCGAAAAGGACTGAGAAGGGGCCGATATTTCTGAAAGAACAGTGGACAACTGTAAAGAAGCACGGACAACGCTCAGGCGTTTATTAATACATCACATCAGCATAGTGCGCGAGACAGTAGTATGTTACTGATGTATGTAAATGACATTGGTAAAAAGCAATAAACCTAGGCCTAAATGAATGCATCACATTTATCCTTCCAAACAAGTCGAAATGTAACCATAACTGAATGTAAACCTCCACCAGATATTGGGGCGGTGGGGTAGCCTAATGGTTAAAGCGTTGGCTCGTCACGCCGAAGACCCGGGTTCGAATCCCCACATGGGCACAATGTGTGAAGCCCATTTCTGGTGTCCCCCGCCGTGATGTTGCTGGAATATTGCTAAAAGCGGCGTAAAACCAAACTCAGTCAGTCAGTCCACCAGATATTCTCGCACACAGTGTCTCTAATTAACTGTTTATTATCAATCGATTAATATATAATAACTAGAATGACATGGTAAATATAAGCGACAGTCCTCTATAAGGATAAAAAAAATTATATATGTCTTTAAACTGATCAAAACTAAAGACGACATATTACTGACATTTCTGTTCGGGAAAGACATTTTCAAGGTTCAGAGTATGAAAAGTAGATATTCTTCGCACTAGAAGTGAAAACAATACCTATTATCCTTATGACACTAACAGATCTACAATTGTAAATCAACTACATGTAGTCAGCTTGGGTCCCTATGCTCATACATCTAACTCCGGGGGAGTTTACTTCTGAGAGTGACCAGGGTGTCGTTGTACAAAGCGATATTAGCACTAAGATGACCGTAACTTCCATACCCAAGTGTAAATGAGTTTCTTAAAAACATATTAAGTAATTGGAAACAGACAGAGCGAGTTAAATCTTTGTTAGTGTTTCAGAAGAGTCACAAAGGTTACCTCCACATGTTCCATCATCCGGACCAGTGACTTCCGTCCCTGACCCTGCACCTGTCAGTGGTCTCTCACATACAAACGGCATGACTTCATCACAGAGCACAGTACCCCAATAACCGTCCACTGTGGCCATGGCACAGTGTTCGCCACTGGTCTGAGATTGGTTGCCATTGACTTCCCAGTTGGTGTAGATCATTGGGGAACAGTCCGCCCACACCCAGCGGCCATTGTTGAAGCTGTGCCAGGACCCTCCTATGTAGTGCTTAGGCGCTGGAAAAAATATTATTTTACAGCTGTGCATTTTGACACACTGCTGCTATGTATCACGGCGGGTTTCTTGTCGTAATACTTGACCGTATCAGATATTGATACAAGGCGGTTGTTTGGTACATAAGGAGTATTTCTTATTTGGTATGAAAACCGTTTGTAATTAGAGTTGCCTATTTTATGTATTGTACTGTTGTTATTGCCACTGATGATAGAACCACTTATTGTCACCGGTTCCTGAACCATGCCAACTGTCGAGTTTTCATGTATACAATAATCTATCCTGTATGTATCTGAACATAGTCAACGAATTCAATCAGTGATAAGAACTTCCCAAAGTCTGATGAAAAGACAAGTCTGTGGATTCTTTCTAACGGTACTATACCCAAATGCATAGGTGATTGTGACACACAAACAGCATATTCAGTCCAAGATATATTTATGGATTAAACTTTTTTATATTTCCCAAACAACGTTTCGGGACAATTCCAGGTCCCTTCATGGGGCGTCCAATGGGTGGCAAATCAGGGAACCTTGCGGCCCGGGGTAACGCATTGATATTGTTCTTATTTAGATACTGCTATACAACTCACTCACTGCTATACAACTCACTCACTGCTGTACAACTCACTCACTGCTGTACAACTCGAGCAACGTGTATTCTGGCCGTATCCTGCTGAAACGTCACTCCAGGAAATGTTGCAAATTCTCGGTACTTCACAGAATGAAAGTTTCCCCACAATGACTGGTGTCCTTGCTGCAGCTGTTAGCCCACCCCAGTTCATAGCTCTCAATTTGTCCCGAGGCGTGGTATGTCTAACTTGTTCCAGAACGATGAATAGAGTTGTTTTTCTTATTTCTGCGCTTTTAAACGCTGCATTCAGTGGAAATGATGGATGTCTGGTTGTCTGGCTTATTAAAGTGAATATTGACGGCAATCTTTTTCGAATGTGTCACGCCTTTCGCAAATTTCGTACGAATTCGAACAACTGCTTAGTTGCGTTTCGTCGAGCCTTTTAGGACACTCTTCCAAATATTCATTCACAAGATTCATGTCACAATAACCTTTGCCTTTGAGTATACAATACTGACATTTCGACATACATGGAAAATGGATTGCAACTGGAAACAACTGGAAAAACATGTGCATCAACGTGGAATCTTGACATGAAAGCATGCGAATGCATTGCGCATAGATACCCTAAACACGAGTGATGAAACACATGACCATACATGTCTATGAACACCAAAATATGGTCGAAAATGTACAAGAAGTATTAGAAAATCTCTGTAACAAATGTGTACCAGAAATATACCAAGTTTGATCATTAACTGAATTACTGAACTCACAGATATGCCGATATACCCTGTGCAGATAATATTGTTTTGTGTCACTGTCCACGGTGACGAGACGGCCTCCATCAGCACGACATGCGACAGCAGCGTTGACCCACGACTGTGGCTGAAGGTGGTGCTTGACACAGAGCTCGGCCTCGTAGATGTAGGTGTAACCGTCAGCCGTAGGACATCCTGGGTGGGAGTCTGGAAACAGTCTCTGATATTGTAAATATATTTCTCCTGTATAGTGATTGAGTGAGTTTAGTTTTACCCCGCACTCAGCAATAATAATAATAATAATAATGTGTCCATTTATATAGCGCCAAACTCCACACTAGGTATGCTCATAGCGCTAACAATCAAGGCCATTATTACCCCGGATAACCCAAGCTGCCTGTTAGGCGCTAGAAGGTTATAGTCATATGACTTTTTTCCACCGGGTACCCATTTTCCAGCTATATGGTGGCGGTCTGTAAATATTCGAGTCTGGACCAGACAACCCAGTGATTAACAGCATGAGCATCGATCTGCGCAATAGGGTTCCTTTACGGGGAAAGTGGAGTGTTGGGTGCAGTGTGTGAGGAAGGCTAAATCAGATCCCATGGATCATCAAAGCGTGTGTTGGTTTTGGCGTTTTTAGAACACTATTTCATACATATCAAGTGGTGTCAGCTTCACGGTCGAGAAAAGCCCGGCGTAACATCAATGTACAGAACCTGGCGCTCGGGTATTCAGGTGACCAATCAACAGTAGTTTAAGAACATCTATTGGACGCAGCACTTTTCAGCAAATTGCTTCACCTTAGCACAACACGAAGTCGAAGGGGAAGACAAACTCACTCTCAAACATAATCATTACAGTGTCGTAAAACGGTGATGGTGATATTCTCCTATCTGTTCAGCAAACGTCGCCATACAATATAGAAGACTGGGCCAGGCTGACAGGTGGCCTATAAAAGGAGAATCGATCCACGAAGGCTAATGAATCAATATCAGCCAGGTCAGACTTGTTATTAAAGTATGGGTTATTACGATAACATATCGGGAATCGTGGAGATTCGGGGTTAGAACTGATCTCCAGCAACCATATCAGTAACTGAGTAAGACTCCTGGGCAAGACTCCAATAAATGCAGGCTGCTGTCATAGAGCCGGAATATTACTGAGCGGGTGTTAATCAACCTACACGCTTGTTACTAAAGCACTGGTTATTACGTATTCTAGGTATAGTGGAGATTCCAGGTAACAATTGATCTACAGCCTGGTGGTGACATGTTATTAATCACTGTATTGTGTGGACGCGATGAAAAATAGGCCGCGGTCAGAGAGCTGAAATAGGGCAGTATAAGAACATAATCCCCTGAGAACCTTTAACAGGCAGACTTTGGTTTTGGTATCAGAAGGTGAAATGTATAAGGTGATGTCATTGCCTTTGGATACCTACTTTGACAAAGGCCAGTGAAGATTTGGACTTCTTGTGTTTCAGCTAGCACCACCTCACAGACGAAGGCAGAGTCAACGTCACAATAGACGTTCTGCCAACCAATATCTGTGGAACTGATTGCCAGTTGGACACACAACCCGTTGGCAGTAGGTTGCAATTGCAGCCAGTTTGTTGTATCAAGAGTCTCCCCGTTGATCCAGGTGTATGAGCTGCCATGATCAAGGCGTAACCCAATAGAGAAGGTGAAATCTGTGGAGGGAAACACATGGTAACATGGCTCAGATAGGAACTACTCTGTGAATTCCTACAAGGACAAAACATTATGACTTTGATAATTCCTCTACGCACCCATCGTTGTTTACTATGTCAAACGATGCCAAGCCTATATGAAGGCCATTCTGACGGATCCCACATCGTCACATTTAAGTGCTGATTATAATGATTAATTGTGATTAATGTGGCGAGGATCATACTTAGCAGGGTGAATGCCTTGAAACACTAGATACAATAGACACTAGAGGCAATATGGGGTTCAGCAGACACAGTGCCGGATGTAGCAGGTATAAGACCGGATGCACTAGATACGAGACTGGATGTAATAGACACAAGACATAGACACAAGACCGAAAGCAGTCGATACAAGATCGTATACTAGAAACACAAGATCATATACAAGAAACACAAGACTGTCACTCCGTGATTGAAACCAAAACCATGCAAATTCTATGTAAAATTCCATCTCACTGTGAAGCAGGTTTTCCAAGTGGCTATTGATGCTGTCGATCTTGTTCTGTGTATCGAGTGAAACAAGGCGCAATCTCTTTCCCCGGCAGATGGTACGCGCATTTGTCCATGATTTCATGGTGGTGAACGTCTTTATACATAGCCCTGAGCTGCTGAGATACGCGTATCCACTGCCTAGCCGACATTCAGGAGGATCTGCAACATGCACAAGCATAGCACGAAGATTAGACTACTTGTTGTGGCGAGGCATGAATGACCAAGGAGTCATTGTTAAGAATACTTGTGGACAAGCCCCTCTACATAATAACAATTATCAGCAAAAGTTCGATTTATCCAACGGTATGTCATACGAGGTGATAACGTTATTAATTTGTCTGTATGTCTGTCCGTTTTTTCATCTGTAATCATATCCGGAACATGCCTCTAAATCTAATAGGTATTCTTTCATGAAACATGCACACTCAAAACCCAACTTGTCTACCGGTTTCTTTGGCTATTTGGGTATTATTAAATGTGTATAATTTTCAATTTCCACAGAAACAAGTTGAGCTTGCCTGTTTATAGTGGTGTGTGTATCTAGACCAGATCTCAAAACCCCTCCAAACCTTTGAATAGTCAGATAACGGCTGCAGCCGGGTGCCTTTTGTTATTTAGTCATTCTTTGATTTCCTACTTCCTGATTTGATTTGACTCAATTCACAAGGATTATATTTTTCCTGAACATATCACAACAGACTTCCGGTTTACCGTGTGTGTGACATCGGGTTATCACTTCAGTGCTGGTGAATAAAGGGCGTATACTTTGACAAAATCGCAAAGATGAAAGTCTGAAAAGTTATTACGTGTAAACTTGAGTCGTAGAAAACAATTATGTGTCTCTTATCGATTTAACGATAACACAAAATATATATATATAAGCCTCGAAACAGTGAGTGAGTTTAGTTTTAAGCCGCACACAACAATATTCAAGCCATATGGTGGCGGTCTGTAAATAATTAAGCCTGGACCAGACAATCAAGTGATCAACAGCATGAGCATCAGTCAGGGAACCTGACCACCCGATCCCGCTAGTCGCCTCTTACAACAAGCATGGGTTGATGAAGATCAATTCTAACCCGGATCTTCACGGGTTCGAAACAGACATACATATTGCAACCTTCAATACTTCAAATTTTCGAGATGCATATGAATCAATTTGGTTTCAGCCCAGGTAATGAAATTGTCCTACATGAAATGATAAAACAGCGGCAGCTGTAACTCACCTGGACACAAAGCCAGAAGTACTTTCGGCACATATCGAAAATATATACAATAATATCGGAAAAAAACCGTGAAACATGCCTCAGTAAATATTAATTATGATAATATTTATATCAGTGAATAATCGACTGGACCAGACAAACCAGTGATCAATATCATGAGCTACAATATAGAATTTGGAATGGCTTGCATCATCCACGGCAGCAAACCTAATCATGCGATCCCAAAAATTACATTTTAAGACGAGCATTGGTTGCTGAAGTCCAAGTCTAACATGTATTTCATTTGCGTTTACTGGCCCGGTATGCCTTTGAGAGAATATAAAATCTCGGTAAAAAAGTAAACCAAAATTAATAACATCTAAAAAGATGTACTAACTGCACATTGAGAACAAATTTCCTGAGTAATTATCACAGAATGTTTTAAACAGGGCTGCCGTGGCGTCCATATTGTTTATCGGATTTGAAAAATGTGAACTCGTCGATGTGCAACCATTGGTGGGAACATGCGCATGAATCTTTAGCTTTATTGGTCGTATAATTTATAACGTGCGACGGACAAACAGGATGAGATGACTTGGAATTGAAATGGGGCCAACTCAATCATGGTACAACTGAAACGCGTTATAAGCTCTTAAGATATGGCCTTAAACATGAAATATCTTCCACTGATTGCATTCACATGATTACATTACTTATGTACACTCACCCAAAGAGGACCCCATCATTAAACCAAATCCTTTACTTCCTGAAATGGCCAGCTGCATAAGTCCAACGGAGACATTGAGGTCAACCTCAACAACAGATTGAAACAAAGAAAGGTAATAGATTTCAATGTTACAACACTCAGAATGTTCAGTGTACGCATATGTTGCCGGTGGCAAGGAGGTAATGTTTTGTCCAGTTTCCACGAAAAATACCACCAGGCTCTCACCAGGGAACGGAAATATGTCTATCTTATCAAACTTCTGAAACCGTTCCACAGCTGGTACGATCGCCATGATCGGGTCTCCCAGAAGGTCATCCACAATGAAGAAGCTCGATTCAACTCGCCTTCCTAGCAGCATTACCTGGATGGGGCGCGATCCTTTAAGACAAAATATTTCGTTTGATACTACATCCAAATAGTCACCAGCATCCATATAAGTATAAAAGTTCCCATCAGAATATATCTCGGTACCGTTTTCTGATGCAACTACTCTCAAAACAGAAGCAGCTTCTGAAATTGCTGGAAGAATGAAGTTCTTCCCAAAGAAGGCTTCAGGTAGCAGCATTTCCTCGATGAACTTTTCCCAACCCGGCTCTCCGGGGAACGTTACACCTGCGAGAACTGATATTGGAGTGTTACTTTTAATAAACGTTCCTGTCACATCGTCAGAACAGAACACGTCAAATTTCTGCATTGGTGAGACACTTACACTCAACGGTACAGATGGCGATAACAACAGGGAGCCACATTGGAGTTCCTTTCTGGGGGAAATTTCCACGTTTGTGTCGTCGTCCCCTATGACTGAAAAGTAGGAATATCCTCCATTTATCGGAGGGTAGGACACGACGTAAAACTTTTGGACATTCTGGTTTCAGGGAACGCTAAATAGCCATCATTGTCTCCACGGGTCACGTACAAAGTTATGTCATCGTTGCTTTTGACTCTGACTCCAGTATCTTGTGCTGCTGTTGAAATATCCGAGTGTTGTAGGTTTATGACCAGATTGAGCGTGTGGTCGATTGTATATTGGTTTGTACCACCTGGTCCGGCCATTTCAACTTTCACGACAGTGTCTTCCGGGCCTCGCATGTGAAGTGTAATGGGACCGCTGAATGTTGACAGGGGAGGTGAGGGAAAGGCCAGCATGAACTTCCGGCCACGTTCGGTCATATATTCTGTGAAAAGAGGGAAACATTCATAATAAGTATTATATTATTCATGGGCACGGAAATAAAGGGAATAACTTCATTGGGTTATTTATGTGTCATAACAAACACAACAGTACAGGAAGCTCCTTAGAATTACCTGCAACACCTATCTTTGAATATACATTTATATTCCCCGGGACAGATCATCTGTATTTTCTCATATCATCTTCTTCAGTGATCAGTTGACCAAGCAGTGCATAGGCTTTGTGTGAAATTTGACTGTTATGTTAATGCTTTAAACGTTTCTGAATATGAACAAAGCCACACTCAACTTGGGGTTTCCACTACCCCTGGCAACTTGCTTTTAACAACCCTCTTGTATGTGTCCCTTGTTTGAGTCTTGGAGGGGACCAAGTTGAAACGTTTTTTGGCTATGGCACATGGTATTGTCAGGCTTGCACAGCCATAAACAGACTTGGTGGATATAGTTATATGTTGTATTCAATGTGTAACACACGCTGTCCTGTATATCGCAGCAAGAGTTTATGTTGAATTCTAAGATGCCTAGCGTTTAGAACAATCGGAAAAAAAATACATTATCAGACAATAAAGGTATAGTTTTTTGATGACGTAACAATTGAATGACGTTTTCCCGTCACTGCGCCATTCTAGTGTGCCCCCCTCGTAATCGAACCATTTTACATTACGTCACAATGTAAGCTACGTCACGATGCATGTCAGTTGTCATCGCCTCGTACGGCCTCGTACGGCCTCCTACAGTAAACTACACCGTTGCATCCAGTTTCTTGGTTTGCTGTTGCTTCACGCAGCTAACATCACTGGTGGAAACATTACGTTTATGTTTCACGACGGTTAAAATGTGTCATTTCGACTCACAAGTTTTCAGCGACACGGTAACGTTCGTAATGTTTACATTCCCACAATGCAATTGTGGAATGTCGCCTGACTACTCAACTTCCTCTGGATGTATTGATCTAAACTTACGCTGGTAGTAGAAATGCAACGTTCATATTGCCCCATATGGTTTACGTTAATGACAGATGCAATTAAAATAATTCAGAGAAGATATTTAATCCGAAATTAAACCGTCATCAAACTGTTATCATTTGTTTTTTTCTGGTAACGTTCGTCTTAACGTAGGGGGCAGAAAAATCAATAGAACAGCGCGCCAGTTAGCCCTGTGCGAGGATTCTTAATTTAGGTCACCGACACCGTCGTTTGTTTTCTGCCTAAATTAATCGTAATTATCTTTAGAAAGTATTAAATTTGGCATCTTAGAAAAGAAATACACTTCGCCCTACCACCATGTATAGTGTAATAAAACACACTTTCGCCCTGAACTATTATAACGTTAAAGCACTCGGACGCAAGCGTCCTCCTGCTTTAACTATACATGGTGGTAGAGCGAAGTGTATATGCCAATTTATGATTGAATTATTGTCTTTGATAGCGGCGAGTCGACATCGCTTTGTCGCCTTCAGTTCTTTCGATGAGAAAGCGATAACAGCAGACGAGAAAGCGATAGCGCAAGACTGAAGCGCGATAAAGGGAGAAAGCGAAAGAGAGAAGAGAGAGAAAGCCATATAAAATGTTGTTGATTTCCAGTTATCAGTTCCTCCCTTTTTATACAGAGCAAATTTAAACATTTTTAGTAGATATATTTATAAATTGAGATAGAATCATGTATCGTCAAAACACACACATGTGTTTGCTTCGTCTTTTGTAGTATATGAACATTCGCATAAAGTTTTATCTTTAAGTTTTGAGACTTTAATTTCCTTTTTCGGGGACTAACAAGTTATGTTCCTTAAATTTAATGCATATACGATCCTTGAATCATAAACATAAAGCAAACAAGGTAGTTTACATACAGATCATACACTGACAAATAGCTGTATGTATTATCTGCCACTGTTCGTAATGTTTACATCTATGGTCATCTTTCAGACCAGGGCCTCCTTTCACAAAGCACTAAGGTGATCGTAAGTCACTTAGGTAACCTTAGTGCAATGTTAAAGAATGGGAGTTAAGGTTAACCTTAGTTATGGTTGCTTCGTGAAAGGAGCTCCTGGACTTGAAGCAGAATACGTGCTCGTCCGATTTAGGAATGACATGTTCATAATGATTATGATGGATATGTCATGCAGACAGATGTTACACATATAAATTGTTGTGTTTCCGTATAAATACAGTTAGAAAATGTCTTCACCTTCAAGTCACATATAAGACTATTCCATACAATAGGAATGGAAGACCTAATGTTATTAAAACTGATTTCTTAAAACTCCTTTCGATCGAACCGTCTTCGGAAATTAAATTCAGTTCTAATGCGTTCCAAAATATTTGTCCGACGTTAAGTCGGCTTTCCCACCAGATGAAGCCGAATATAAGTTGGACCCAGTCTGATTATGATATAGTCACTTGATTCAGACAGACAGAGTCAAACAGACAAGACATACATCAGTCACACATGCATACAAGCACAGACATAGATACGCATACAGACAGGCAGACAGGCAGACAAGCAGGCAGGCAGGCAGGCAGGCAGACAGACAGGCAGACAAGCAGACAGGCAGGCAGGCAGGCAGGCAGACAGGCAGGCAGGCAGGCAGACAAAAAGAATACTTCCGGACAACACCGTTAAGACATTTTCGGTCTTGCGTTATCGTGTTGGTAGAAAATGCCACGTGGTCGTTGCTGGAATAATGGCAACACACCTGGCCGCAAAACTTCCTCCCTGTAACTTCGAGGTTGCCATGAATAATCACAAGACCCGTTTTGTAATCGCCGCAGATGGTTCCCCACACCATTACGCTCCCTCCTTCAAACGGTCGGACTTGCTGAAGGCATTTCGGCGCTAAACGTTCACCTACTAACACAAGCCCGGCCGTCATTACTGGTAGGCAAAACCTACTCTCGTCGGTGAACATCAAACGTCGCCAATCACGCATCTGCCAACGTCAAACGCGTTTGGCCCATGTCAATCGACGACATGGGTTTTGAAGAGTCAGATGCTCTGCGCCATAGGGTCGACGTGCTCGAATACCATGTTCTCTTAGCCGCCGGTACAAAGTATGTCGACTGATACTGTGTCCTAGTGCCGTCACTGCCCTTGACGTCGCCGTTTCGAAACAATTAATTTCTCAGATGAATTGTCCGAATGTGGCGATCATCACCAGGCATTGTCACACGTGGTCGACCACTCCTGGGCCTGTCTGACGTATTGCCTGTGTCTCTTGTTCGTTGATCAGTCTGGTGACAGTTGCGTGCAGCCGAAGGTTTGGCAATGACAGTGTGGTCATCTCCTTGTTGGGCAATTCCGACAGCTCTCTCTCTATTTCGATTTGCCTCAAATGTGGCATGTTTTTGTGTTCTTTTTGCTACTCCGTTGCTCACGTGTCGCGTAGGCTGTTTTATACTGTCAGTATGCACGTGCATTTCGTTTTTGATTTTTTGCGACGTTTAGGCGATTCGTTAACTTGTTTCACTGTTTGTACCCGGAGAGTATGGATCTGTAAGTGTGTATTTCACTTCACTTCTATGTTTGTGAATTTGTATGTATAAGCTGTGTACAGTTTCTTTTGAGCACTAGTTTATATACTAGGCGACATTAATATAGGGTGTGAAGAACAGGTTCTCAGAAATAATAGAACTAAGAGAGTCACCATAAAGTTTAATGTGAGGACAAACGTGACACATCGTGACATACAGGCAAAAAGTTCAAACAGTACTAGCAAACATCAGTTGTATAGACCAACCCCTCAAAATGAAAACGACAAACACGAAGCACTCGGTCATTCAATATCTTGTGTACCCTCCTCGCTCGTCCAAGACACACATGCACCTTGTTCTCATGTTCCTTATCAAGTTCATAAAGAAAGCTTGCGGAATCGCATTCCATTCCTCTACATGAGCTCTGTCGTGTCCTGGGAGATCCACTGGTGCTAGGTGACGTGTGTGCACAAGTCGACCGAGTTCATACCAGGCATGCTCAATTGGGTTGAGGTCGGGCGAGCATGTTGGCCACTCCATCCGCTCTACACCCTGCTGCCTAAGGAATTCCGTGACAATCCTGGCCCTATGAGGCCTAGAGTTGTCGTCTTGCAGGAATGAGGATCGGCCATAAGAACCATGCATAGCTTGCAGGAATGGTACTTCTATAGGAACCAGAATATCGTCCCGATAACGCTCTCCGGTGAGATTACAGTCGACCACGTAAAGTGGAGTACGTCCAGTAGGACTTATCCCTGTCCAAACCATGACTGACCCACCGCCAAATCGGTTATGCGTGGCCACAGTTGCATCTGTGATTCGCTCTCCATTGCAACGATAAATCCTCTACCGACCATCATGGAAGGACAAATTGAATCTGCTTTCATCTGTGAAGAGCACACGAGACCATTGGCGTTGATTCCAGCGGCGATGATGTCTACTGCATCTCAAACCCCTCTGCCTGTGACGTGGTGTTAGTAATGGACGAACTGCAGGCTGCCTACAGCGGAGTCCGGCTGCCCTTAGACGTCTACGAACGGTGCTCCCGGAAGATCTGCTGCTTAATGAATCTGTTAATCATGTGCCTATCATCACGGACTGTTGCGACTCTGGGGCGACCTGGTCGACGTGCACATTCAACGAACCCATTGGCTTGAAATCTCACATTAAACCGGACAGCAAGTTTGACCAGAGATTCAAAAGGCTTATAGCCTGACCCCTTTCAGCAAGTGTAAAAACCGTCTTATTTTAAGCTGCGATTAAAAACAGGTTCCTGAACAGTGCACGTCAGTGAAAAAGAATCAATGCATGTGTATTGTCCTCCACTTTCCATGGATAAAGAGCGACTTGCACGTGCAAATCATAGACATTAAATGGCAGGTGGTTTTCCATATTGACAATTTGAATAAAAAATATGCCATTTGTAACAGAATGCATCGGACGTTAAAGAACGTAATAATGACATTTCAACGGCCTGATGTGTTTTTCCATACTGTTAAAA